GTGCCAGGATTAAACTAAATTGAAATTGTTGGTCCTGCTGCCAAAAGTGCTTTCTTCCAAAGTAATGCCTTCAAATGGGACTGTAAGTTCCAATGGACCGCCTTTATAAAACATTGACAATGTAGACTTATCTTGATCTTTATGGCACCTTCAGGAATCAGAGGGAGTGGCCATCAGTGGCATGCTTAAGTCATATATTTGCAGAACAGTGTTTTGTTATCACATGCTTATAAACCTGTAGGAAGCATATAACTCATTAAATATCTAAAAATATCTCCTCTGCCTTTTCCTACTTCTGCTTTTTTTATCCCCTTACAAAAAGAACAAAAATGAGTAGAAAAATAATAAAATGACCCCTTTCTCAGCCCTCTCCAACCAGACACAGTCTCTGCTGCTGCTGCAGTGACTGAAAATGAGATGAGGAGATTGTGCAACCACGCCTTATAGGATGCGCACAAATGGCTTGCTTCTTGCAAAATTTTACAAAGTATTAAGACAACTCCCAAATGAAGTTCTGTGCCTGGGTATCTCTGTGGTGGAGAAAGTGTTGTCAAACACTCAAAGTGTATCAGGAGTCTAAAGCAATACAATTTAACACAGGCAAGGGAATGGAATGGAATGGAATGGAATGGAAGAGGAGAGGAGAGGAGAGGAGAGGAGAGGAGAGGAGAGGAGAGGAGAGGAGAGGAGAGGAATTGGAATATTCTTTATTGGCCAAGTGTGATTGGACACACAAGGAATTTGTCTCCGGTGCATAAACTCTGTGTACATACAAGCAACAAAATGATAAATCATAAGATACAACCAACAAAGTGATAGTCATAAGATACTAATAGGAGCAGATAATAGGAAAGATGAGACGGATAATAGTAATATAGCCCTATTAAATGGTTAGATATCCTTAGGCATAAATTAGTGCTGTGGGAATTATGTTTAGCAGAGTGATGACATGGGAGGAAAACTGTCTTTGTGTCTAGTTGTTTTGGCATGCAATGACCTATTGCAGCTCTACAACGGAAGGTTGCACAATCCCCTCATCTCCTTTTCAGTCACTTCTCTGTGCTTGGTTGGAGGATTAAGAAAGAGGCCATTTTATTATATTTCCACTCATTTCTGTTCTTTTTGTAAGGGTGAAAAAAGTGTATAACAAAGATATACAACTGAGTAATCTTAGTTGGCAACATTTTTAAAAAAAAAAAATGTTAAAATTTGCTGAAGTAAAAGGTTTTCAGTAAAGTTTGCACTTGCTTTTACAGCTATACTGAAACAGCTACTATTCCTGCCAGACTGCTTGCAAAGAACTGCAATATGAATTAACAGAGAATCAACTCAAATCTAGATTTCTTTGACTCGAGGGCACCAGTTCTTGAAGGTTACTGATTTTAAATGGATTTGTTCCATCCTTCATGAATGCATCCCTCCGTGCTTGGAGATATTCCATTACACACAAACAAATGAATAATAGTCAAGGAAGCTATAGGACTTTAGATATTCTGTATTTGAATACTAACTGCTAAGGCTTTATGAAGACTGTCTATATCTTACTGAATACAGATAGCCTCAGCAGCTGTCATGGTTTGAAACAACACGCCTCCCATTAAAGACCATGGCCATAAATGATCTGGTATACATTTATTAAATTAGATAGAATGAGAAATAAGTTGTATAATGCAAACAGCTGAATATCAATAAGAGTAATAAAGAAATGTTTTCAGAATTACAGCAAAACACCCTCGGTACAGCATTACAAGTCGGCCAACACAGGCAATAATATCTAGAAAGGGAAACGCTTAGAATCATCAGCACATAGTCAGAAAAAATGGGATAAAAGGTGGCAAGCATCTAGCTAGGCAAAACGTTCCTGAATTTCACTAGTCTTGAATTCTTGGTGGGTTTAAAGCTACTGTGGGCTGTGTAACAAACTGCTGTCACAAAGAACATAATGAAAAACGCAAGGAAGAGTTTTGTGCTGCCTAACATTTACTTTAAGTGGCAAATAACTGGTGCATTTCAGTTCTACACCTCAGAAATCTGTATCCCAACTTTACTCACAATGGACTGTAAATTTCACTGAAATCCATGAGAAGCATTTCCATCTTTGTTTATAGAATCAAAGTACATCCAGGAATGATCACAAAAACATGGATGTAATTGTAACAATGCTTGCATCCTACCCTTTTGAACATGGATGTCAAACTTGCCGCGTCACGTAACTTTTTTTTTTTTCATTGCCGGAGCTTGGGTGAGTGCGGCCTCCGTATCATGCAACTGGCCCGCAGGCCAGCAGTTTGACACCCCTGCTTTTGAGAATGGACTACTCTATCATTGGAAAGCTTTTCATCCAGCAGAGCTTTCCAACTGGCTAAATGGCAAAATGAAAGCCAGGGTCTTTGCCAGCTTCCTTCCCCTCAGCCTCCAGATCCTTTACCCCTTCCAAGTAAGTACCCTGGGGGAAAAAAACAGATAGGAATTCTTCTAAAACACCCTTCTAAAAATATCCTTGTCAGTGGAAAAATGCTGATCAGGTTTCTGTGAATAGCTCTATTAGCAGGAAAACCAAACAAACCATTAGATCTATCTGAAAGTGGATTTATTTAACTTCAAAAAGAGCAAGAATACAATTCATTGACATGCTCTTTAAAACCTTCCTCATTGTCCATCTCTGAGTAAACTTAAGCATCTAGAAGTAGGTCTAAACTTTCTTTAAATGTTGCAGTAGATTTATGAAGAATCTTCAGAAATCTCTCTCTCTGGATGTGCACCGTGCACACATAAAAAAGCAGCAGAGGCTTGGAGGCTCAATAAATATCCAGAACTCAAAGTCAATGTGCCAACTCTCCGTGCAGAAAAGCATCTCAAAACACAAACACAAGACTTTAAAAGGTACGTGAAGTAGCTGTGCCAAAGCTTCAGCTGAAGCTACTTCATAGCTTGCCACCTCCTGATCCAAAAAGACACTTCATTCACAAGTGAAGCGTCACTGAAAAATCTGCATAGCCATATTATACAGCTCACGTTATTCCACTAGGATAGTACTATGGTGGTATTCCAGACTTTGGGCTCATTGCTTCTAATTAATGAAATATCTTAAGGGTCTTAGCTAAACAAATTCATAAGAATTCACCAATGTATTACTGATATATGACTGACATTAAGTGTAACATTAATCTGAACGTACTGCAAAGTATGGAGAAAGGAACACAGTTGATTTTCAGATGGACACATACCTCTTCTGGAGCTTCTGAAATGCACTTATTTCATGTAAAAAGCAACAGAAGGGGCAAGGAATGATTTAGCATTCACAAATACTAACCTATTAAACTTATGGGAGTAAAATAGCTACAATTTAAACAAAGCAATAAATGGATCTGATACTGTATTTAAAATTATTTTCTCAATATATTTTAACAATTAAAAAAATAAATATTTTAACTATAGCTAGCTCTGCCAGGAGTTTTCATGATGATACCATAAAGCAATTCTAATAGACCTTTTCTATTAGAGAGGGGAAAAAAGCATGAAATAATGAGGTTTTTCTTCTTTCAAAGCAATAAATGTCATGATCACCTTGATGCCTTATTGTCTTCAAACACTTTAGGAAATACAAAGTATGTCTGGCAATTATAGACAGCATTTAAAAATGTTTAAAACAATAAAAAAAACTCAAATAGCATGTAAAGTGTGTCTATTAAAGTGCATTGTTTCACTTTTCCCAACTTTAAACAAATATAAACTTTGTTACCTCCAACAGATCTACAACTCTAATAGAAAAATTATTATGTACAGCTTCTGTATATTGGGATTGTACTCTAAATGTGGCAGGTCTTCATTTGTGGCAATGAATTGTTTTCATATGCTTCGCCTTCAATAGAATTAAGATTAATTGGGACCTTAGGAAATTACAATAGTGAATATTCCATTGAAATGCTTTTCAAAGCATTATTGTTTATAACAACTGACCACAAGGAAGTATATTACATTGGTACTGCTGAATTTCTATGGTATAACATTCCACTGCTTTAATTTTATGAGTTTCTCACAAATATAGGAGCAAACAAGCATAAAAACACATCAGGAAGATTTCTGTCCCCTCCTGGCATACAAGTAGTCCTCGGGTTATGATAGCAATTGTGACATTAAGCAATATGGTCATAAAATGGGACACGTGTGACTGCGTCACTTAGCAACAGCCATTCCAGTTGGTAAGCAAGGACCTCACATGACCATGATGTGGAAAGAGGCACTGAAATGGCATCCCAAGCAAGCAGGCAAAGGGTAAAAGCTATGGGCAGGCTGATGGTGTGGGTGGGCTCTACAGAGCGCAGGTAGGCAGGTGCTATGGGTAAGTTCTACGGAGTGTAAGATATTCATGCACCCGGGGGCTCCTCAGGAGAAAAAGTGGTGGCGGCAGAAGCGACTTACAATAGTAACTTGTGATCTCCTGCCAGTTTCCCCAGACTTTGCTTGTGGGAAGCTGGTGACTGCAGAATTCTGCGACGGCCACAATTTCAAGGACCGCATTATAAGTCCCCCTCATTCAACACTGTCATAATTTTGAATGGTTGCTGAATAAGTGTTCGTAGCCCAAGAACTACCTGTATGTTTCTGTGTCTTACAAAAGGGGTGTTTGTCATTTCAGAAGCACAGCGGCACTTCATTAAACAAATAAAAAAAAAACATAAATACATTGCATTGGTGCCCAATTAGTAGGTTGAAAAGTGATCTCTCATTAGTAAAACTGTGAAAGTTGCAAGAAAGCTAGTATTCCATAGAAATTGTCTTAATGTTCAAATATCACTAAACAAGCCAACTGTGTAATCTTTTTTTGTCTCACAGAAAGGGATTGCTTAAGAGACAGTTTGCTCTTTAATAGCACTTTATAGAACATCAGCCTCCCTCATCCCTCAACTGATACTCTCCCCACTCCCTGATTTCAAATGTATAATGAATAACAAGTGGAGGAGAAACTTGGTTGGTTTTGGAACGCAAACTAAAAAAGGGGGGAGGGGAATTGGCAGAGGTATTTCAACACTACCTTTCATCAGAAATGTGGACAGGATAGAAGTGATAGCTATAAAATGGCTGAGATTTCTGTAACGCTATCTGTAAAAACCAATATTCCAATGAACACCCATGACAAAAATGGATCACAGATAGGTTGCTGGCTTGGGAATTTTTTTTCTAACTAAATTCCTGGCTTGGCAAATCAAAATTAAAGGTAACAACGACGAAGGGTAGTATGAGAATGATCTAAGCCTCTTCTGCAATTTGAAGCAAGGAATTGATAGCGGCATCCTTGTTCCCTCTCTGAGCTTCTAGTACTGAACGGATTACTTCTCTGTCCATGTTGGGGAACATGTCCTGGATAGATTTTAGATCCTCTTCATTACATACATGTTGGGGGTTGATTGCAGGTGGTGGAACTGCCACAGGTACCATGCCTGGGTTACAAACAGCAGGCATCCCTGGAAGAAGACAAAGAATGGAGACTGATTGGAAAATACAAAATTCTAATGAATTTAAATGTACTGCAGTGTGTAAAATCTTCCCTTTAAAAAATTCAGTTAATTCCAGACATATAGATAAAAAGCATTTAAGCAGGTACAACAAAACACCAGATACAATTCTAGATCATTACGGTTATATGAAAGATGTTGGTGAACATTAAATTGGAGGCGATAGGAGTTACAGAACACAATAGTCGATGAAAGCTGTTCTCCTAGTACATCATGAAACAAATAACTTCCCATCAACCACAACAATTAACCAAAATCAAATTGGTTTAACTCCTAGTAACTTTATAATAATATATCTTCTTGCTGATATCCAAATCATCATTCTGTTTGTTGATCATCGGTAATCTGAAACTTCATTGATTTACATAGTACATAAATATTTACAAGATACCTTCTAAAAATGAAGTATTACAGAATGTTTATTCAGATTATGTTAAACAAAATAATGACTTTTACTAGAAACCCTGATTTTGTGAATCTTATTGACTAATAGTTTTAATAATTAAATTTAGTTTTCTTATCTAATGATTTAAATGATGATCCCTAACCCTAAACCTTTGTTGTCCATGGGGTCGCGATGGGTCGGACATGACTTCACAACTAACAACAAAACCCTAAACCTTTGCAAGTCAGGCAGATGTATGAGATTTGACTCCTCCTCTGCTTTTAACTAACTGGAATCCATTCTGGGACATTTAAAAGGGTGGAGATTTCCATGAATTTAAAAATTAGCTGTTTCTGCTACAAACCTAAAATAACTATTTAGCTCTGTGATATGGTCACATTTATATATGTGAAACCACCTCTGAAACTAAAATATTTTTCCTAAAGTCTATGAAGAGTTGGTTCAGTGTTATTTGCAATCAATGCAAGCAAGATGAACAATATAGCAAATTATACACTAGAAGAGAGTACTGATTTTCAAGAACTATCAGAGTAAGAAAAGAAGGAGTGCATTCAAACAGCTCAAGAGATCATACTATACCTTGTCAGACAAGATTTACACTCTTCTGTTTTAAACAGTATGGTTCTTTAAGATGGTTGACCATTTAAGATGGTTGCCAACTTCTCAAGGAAATTAGCCAGGACTTCCCTGAGCCCCTATATCCTGCACTGATACTTCCTGCATATCAGTCCTGCTTTGCAGTAATGAAAAGATTTTTTTTTTAAATGACTATTTCCAATTATCTTCAGAATGAATCAAAGAAACTGGCAAAGGAAACAAAAGTTTGACAAGGATAGGGAAAAATGGAAAATATATAATTTAAAGAGACTGATACACAATTAGTAAGAATTGTTATTTTATCCTTGGAAATATAGTGAATAAACCAAACTTGGCTATTAAGAAAAACCCTTAGCACAGTTGGTTTCTCACTACTGAAAGATTAATAATGTCAATAGAAACAGGATATTAATTATTTCAACTTCTGAGTTGAAGTTGAAATTATTATTTTGATTTAGGCACTTCCTGATAACGGTGAGTGGCTCCCAATGTTAAAAAAAGAAGTTAAAATAAAGAATACGATTGTATTACAAAATTGTATTGTGCACTTAAATCTTGTTTTTATATTTGAGGGAAACCTCTAATACTGATAGTTATTAGATCTGCTGATAAGCTTCAAGTTGATGGAGTGGGAGAAAAAAAATTAACTTAGTCCACAAAACCTTACTTACAGAAGCTGTTCCCGTAATATTTGGATTAGCAATATAGGTAGTAATCCAGATTTTTACAGACCATAATCCAATGTTATTCTGCATACAGTTTACTGTAGTGCATACAGTATACTTCTATGTATATAGTTCTGCGGCATATACCAAGACTCTTAAAGAAAAATCCCGAATAGATGCACAATTATAAATAACCCGTATAAGAGCAACCTCCGATGAGACACATTCTCTTTTAGAAAACCATAACTAGGTATTTTCAGATTTACTCTACCGCTAACATTAATTGCACCAGGCTTTACAAAAATGCCAACTCCTCTTATGCCTCTTTTCAGTTCAATAATACTTTCATTCAAGTAACTTCATTCTGAAAATCAATATAGCCAATTAATGCAAACTAACATTAAAATGTGTTTACATCAAAAGACACTTCAATCATTTACCAAATTGGTTTTTTAAGTTAAACAAGCAAAGCAGTACAGAATAATCAATAAATTGGAAACAAAATGGCCCATAGTCCACTATTTTCCATTTAAAAAGTGCTCTTCAAAGTTTATGAAATTAATTTGGCTTCGAGTGCATCAGGGTGGCTATAGTGAGAAGCATACAGATATAAGCAAGGGCACTTAAATGAAATGAAAAAGTAAAAAATGGCAATGGATTTGATGATACATGATATTTTTACAAGGCAACACTCAGTACAAAAAAATAATCAATTCATATTGTGCAGAAAAAAATACAAACCTTAAAGACAATATTCTAATACAGTCAAGTGCCTTCATATCTTGATTATCTTGTTTCACCACTTTTTATCCCATAGGGGAAATATAATATTTGTGAAATATTTTCAAATGTATCGAAGAGGGAGAGAACTTTCCAAGTTTCATTATTAGCTTTGTAACTGATTCAAATGCTGCATTATTTTATTTTCTTGGGGAAGGGGTCCCCTGCCCAAACTCAAATTTATGATGAATACTAAACATATATTATAACCAG